CTGGAGGCATCGACAGCGTCGCACCCGACTGGTTGTACCCGTTGTGATTCAGTCTGCTATCGTTAAGACCGCCGTTGAACTGGCTGGCCATCGGGTCTGACTCTGCATCCGTCTGTGGATCGTACTTGATCACAGATTCGCTGCGGCGCGACTCGTTGTTGGAATGTACCATCCACGCGCGGATATACGTGCTGAAAACAATGAGTTGGCGCACGAACCAGAACAGGATCACAGCCGAGTTGATGCCGACGTAAGCGTGGGCTACATGCGTGCGAGCTGTGGCCGACATGGTGTTCGAGTTCAGGAATGCGAAAGCCAGACCAAAGTTCAGGATCTTGAGCAGTCCCAGGGCGTATGTGATGCGAAGCACCATTTGTTCCGCGAACGGTGACATGATGAAGACGCATGCGAGATACAGCGCTTGGATGCCTACGACTACTATGAGCTGAGTCGGATCACCTGCTGCGGAGCCCACCAGAATACCGGTCGTGATCTGGACCACCACGTCAATCACGAAAAACATCCGGCTGCGATAAGTGTACTCACAGTAGAGCGAGCCCCACGTAGCTAAATTCTCAAACTGCTCCAGCTCGTCCTTAGTCTTGTGCATGATCACACGCCCAGCAACAGCCAGCACGCCAAAACACACCACCACCAGTGCAATAATGGCCACCACGAGCGCATCGGCGATTGCGGAAGCCTAAACTTGCATCGAAATTTCGAACGACGACAGCATGCTCAGCGGAAAAAGCGCAAAGTACCAAACCAACACACACAGTCCAAGTGCGCGAATGGACACGCTGCGGAGACGGTGTACACCAGAGGTGTAGTTGTTCAAGTCCGAGGAATCGTCCAGTGCCCGCACCGCCTTACGCTTGGCCATCACAGCCAGCACTAGGAAGACGACCAGAAGAACGGCCATGATCACGGCAAATCCAATGACGCTTTGCGCCAAAATGCTCCCCTCCGAGATACCGATACGATCAGCGTACGATACGACGCCACCCAGTACAATCGTTTCCAAACGACGAGACTCAATTGAGACACTGGAAGAGTCCTGGATCAAGTAGTTGCTCCACGCGAACGAATCCGTGTAATCCCACAAAAAGTACGGAGTCTTGAGAAGCGTTAGTTCCGACGCGGCCTGCATCTGCTGCAAGTAGCCGACGTAGAATAAGAACTCCCACGTGTTCGGGCTCCACGCAGCATTCACCCAAATCAAATTGGCATCCAGGGAGACAAAATGGAAGAACAGAAGCAGCGCCACCGAGATACCTGCAAACGCCACCGATGCGTAGCGCAAGAAATCATGGAATGCCGCGGCTAACGCTGATAGCGCCTCGCTGTCATCCGTGTCCACGTATGTATTACGTCCTCCAATCACGTTGGTACCTGCAGCACCGGCTTCGTCAGTGGCGGCCGTCTTGCCTCGGACGTAGGTCATCGCGTCCTCCAAACCGCCTTTACCCGTATTCCCCGCAATGTTCAGCACAACCGGCTTCTCAATCTCGGTAATCTCATCCGGGATAGCGAACGGATCATACGAACCACATTTTACCGGTATGGGCGTGGCGGATTCATCATACATTATCACATCGGACCGGATTTGTTCGATCTGCTCCGCCACGTCTTGCTCCGACACGTCCTGCTCATCCACGTTATCCGGATTCGTCTCAATAGCAATTGGGTACTTAATCACTGCAGGCGTTTTTGGCACAAGTTCGGACGACGTAGGCGTTTCAACATTGTCATCTAAATCGCTCGGAGGCGCCGCCACTGGAGGCGGTGACTCCATATATTCGCTCATGGACAGGTCCGGCAAGTCGCTTTCACCACTCGTCTTAGACGGCTTCTCCGAAGATGGTTTCTCGATCACAGACGGAAAAGGCTCTATCAGAAGGGGACTCCACAAGTGGTCGAACAAGGGAAGAAGTGTCAGGTGGTGTATCGTTCTCTGTTGGCGAAGTCTCAGTCTCCGGCTTCGGTATTTCAGAAGTCACCAGCGCCAATAGAACATTATCGGGAAGGGTGCTGGGGCCCGACAGTGCGCCGTTCTCAGGACTCTCCGGCATCAGATCTCCATCGGGGGTTACAATCGTACTCGGCGTAGGTGGATACAAATTTGTGCTCAAGGGTTCATTTTCATCTCCAGTCGCGGGAGCAGGCCCCTGAGGGTCCGTGGTAGGAATGACACTAGTCGACGGAGCTAGCGGCAACTCCGCCGGCGGCTCCCTCATATCAACTTGCTTCACTGGTGGAAAAGGTGGCGGCAATCGAGATTCGGTCACGGAAGGCACGACCGGCAGAAGCGCATTCGGTGCAGGAGCCGGTGGCCCGTTCTGGTCATTCAATTCTTGCGGCGGCGGCGACGGCGTCAGGCCGGGCACGGGAGGCTAGACCGACGGTAGCAAGTTCGTTGCCGGCACAATCGGATCGGATGGTTGCTCTGCTGACGGCGATGACGGCAACAACGATTCGGTCACGGAAGGCACGACCGGCAGAAGCGCATTCGGTGCAGGAGCCGGTGGCCCGTTCTGGTCATTCAATTCTTGCGGCGGCGGCGGCTGCTGCTGTTA